CATTTTGTGTCAGCTGGAAACTCCTGCCTAGATTTGTGAGTGTAAAATTCAAAAATTGAACTCACGCTGCTTTGGAAGTGACCCGTCTGAGACGCTCATTTCCATGCGGGCAGGGCAGGGAGGCAGCTGCTCCTCAGGCACACGTGTGACTTTGCCTGACCTGCTGTCACCACTGCCCCAGTGCCATCCTGCACCCCTCTGCCAGGCAGCTGTGTGTGGAACAGGAGGACAGGCCCGTGGGCAGCTGTGTTTGAGAGGGATTGATGAGCGTGGTCCTTGCTGCCTGGCCCGGCCAGAGCAGGCAGGGGTTGGGAAGTGCTGATGCCCCCAACCTCCTTGGTGTGCCGTGGTCAGCCAAAGCAGCAGCAGGCCTGGCTTAAATCCAAAGCCCTGAGCCCCTGGGGTGGGTAATTCCACCCCACAGCTGCCAAAGGACCACCGACAGGTTTGCAAAATTGATGCCTCCTCTGCACTCTCTGAGTCCCGGGGAGGAGAAGACTTTCAGACTTGCTCTAGGATGAGAGTTTCAGACCTTTTTGCATTTGTAAAGCAGAGGAGGTTGCAGCCACGGCAGCCTGGCCAGGACTGATTGTCCTTTGTGACTTTGGATGGTTCCTTCACTGAAAGACTTCAGAGAGAGGTTATATCTAGTGTTGGCCCAAGAGAGAAGTCTAGAATTGAAAACAAGATCTTCTAATGGTACAATTGCTGTTTGTGACTGTTACCAGAGAGGTATCTTGGCTTGCTTGTTTAATTGTTATTTAATTGATTTTATTACCCCTCCCCATTGGAGGGCTGCCATTCAGGATGCAGATCATCGTTATTTCATGTCAATCATGAGAGCCTAATAAAGAGGAAGCTGCTTCTTCAATGTCTACTAAAAGGTTAGTCCTGATAGAGACAGGGGTGGAACAGGTTATTTAAAAAAATAGAAGGAAAGAAACTAGATTAATTCACATTTTCCTCTGCACAAGTGGTACCGTTTGGATGGTACCACCCGTGCAGAAGGGAGGTGAGGGAAAGTGGGAGATCATCCCAAATAGTTCTCTCAACACCATCTTGTACCTGTGCTCTCCAAAGAGAGAGGTGACTGTCATGACACTGTGGGACTGACAGGCAATAACTTGTTTGTTCTCTGTCCCACTTTGCAGCTCTCATGCCTGACTTGGTGGACCAGACACAGGAAAGCATCTGCCATCGACCTGAATAACTGCAAGAGTGCGGCAGCAGAGATCAGTCCAACCAGCAAAGAGAGTGACTTGGTCAACAGTGCAGAGTCAGGAGACAAGGAGGAGACAGGTAAGGTGATTATCTGTGAACAGACACACTCATGTGCATGTGAGGGCACAACCAGGACCTCATGCAAGTCCCTAAAGCTCATGAGAGGCCACCTGTTGCATTCATTGGAGTTTTGGCTTGTATTTACAGGTACACCAGTTGTAAGGATGTAAAAAATGAAAATGTTGTGGCTCTTGATCCTCCCAACATCGCTTGTTGTGGGAAAAAAAAAAAAAAAGAAAACCCACCACTCAGTAAGGTGCTTTCCCTCTTCCTCCCTAGAACAAATGCGAACTACTCCAGTTCTGCCCAAGTCACAGGCTGATTTTAGCACTTCAGGCCTGGTCTCTCAGTGGATTGCTGGATTCCTTAGAGGAAGGGACCGTGAGACCCAGGGAGCAGAGCTGTGCACTTTGTGGATGTTTACAAGCCTCAGTTTTCTCTTTTACGTGATGCCAACAGTATCTTTCATCTTCCCTTAGGATATAAGCCATGGTTAAAACTCAGAGCTTAAATAGCTGTGTGTCCTGCCAAGGGTATCTAAAAGAAGGAAGGCAAAGAATCAAATGAACGTAAGGAGTCATCAGGAGATAGAACAGTAGCAGGAGATGCTGCATAGGCAAGTTCTTTTCAGAGTGGACGGAGCTCTATTCTGCAAATCTATTAAAAAATGCAGCTTTCTGGTTTTCAGCTTAACCTTCAAAGGTTACAGAGCAGAAACCTCAGAGTGAAGGCACATACACAAGATTTCTTCACTCCTTCCTTTCGCTGGTCAGTCCAAAAGGCACTGGTACCAATTACAGTCAAGCCAAACAAAAGTAACAACTAAAGAAAACTTTTTGTTTTTTTCCCCCCAATAGAATAAGTTTTGGGTTACATTGAATGCAGCCATTCAGCATTATTTATTATTTTTTATCAATTCCTATTTCACTTAACTAGCTCAGATTTTTATAAACAAGTGTCTTGGTATTTTGGTAATTAGTAATGATGGGGAAGGAAATGTGAAACACAGCAGTTGACAGTTTAATGAGGGGTTTTTTTCTGGGTAACACCTTTTTTCAAGGCCCTATGACATCCTGCATTTCAAAAAAAGGTTATATTTGGAGAGAACAGCCACTGAAATGCACACAGCACAGGGCTGACAATTAAAACACACACTTCACCTGGCACGTCACGTGTAATAAACAAGCCAGGATATCTCTAAATGGACCATCATGCTGTCAGGAATTTTTCCAAGTGGATGGAAGCTGGGTTAGGGAGGAGGGGGGAGAGGTCTGTTAATTAACTAATGAGCAGTTGGTGTTGCAATCAACTGACTGTAATCAGGCTGTGCTGTACATGGTTGAGAGAGAAGTTTCCCTTTCCCTTTTCCCCTTTCCCTTTTCCTTTCATCATGATACTGCATCTCCTATCCCAGGTGCCTCTCAAACCCCACTGCAGATCGGCTAATGCACCTCCAAACTAGTGGAGAGGGGGATGGAAGAGTCCCAGTAGGTTTTAACACCCGTTTTTTGGTCCGTCTCTCGCAGCAGCCAAGCCTCCCTGCTGGAAAATGGTGTGTTTGTGGTTCTGTGGGCTGTCCACCAGCCCCACGCCCACCCTGTCTCAGGAGGAGAGAGCTGCCCTGGAGCAGAGACTCACCAGCATCGAGGAAGAGCCTCTGTGGAAGAATGTTTGCAATGCCAATGCTATTGTCCTGCTGGCAATTAATGTCTTCCTGTGGGCATATTTTGGCTGAGGTGGGGTCAGGAGGCATGTGGCTTTGGTTTCTTTCACCTTTCTGTCTCAGCTGGAAGCATCAGGTGACAGAGCCCCTGGTGATGGTCCCTGGAGGCATCCACTGTGGCACAGCCCTTCCCTGGAGGCACTGCTTGCTGGGAATGATTGTGGGGCTCAGTTTCCCCACAGGGTGAGACCAAGACTCAACACCAGTCACATCTGGGGCGCAGGGGCTGTGCTGAGGCTGGGATGCAGGATAGCATGTGGGCCAGGTCTGGAGGTCTGGGGTCAAGTTTAAAGGTGCAAAGCTGAGCCCAGCAAGGAGCAAAGGCTTTGGAAAGCCCAGCTGTGTCTGGGTTCCCTCTCAGGGCTGACTTTGCACCGATGCACTTAGGGAAGGATTTCTGGTTTACACTGGTGTGCAGAAGGAGACTTAAACACACTCTGCAGCTTTTTTAATGGTTAAAATTCAGATAGGGTCAGTGGGGCACCACTGGATTAGCTCAGCAGTGCCAACCTTGGCTCCCACAGCCACCCCAGGACCTGTGTTGGACCCCTTCCACCCCACCCCTCCCGCCTCACTGGCATCAGCAGTGGGAACAGGGAGCTTCTTCCTGCTTTCCGAGCCCCCTGTCCTGCCCACTCTGCTCTGTGACAGTGGGTCTCACAACAGCCCCAGCCTGTTTGCTCAGCAGGCTGATGCTGCCCCTTGACAGCTTTACCAGCAATAAAGGTGCCTTAGTAACCAAGCCAGTCCTGACTTTGGGTTATTGTGGTGATCTGTCCTGCACTGACACACAAAGGGCTCCCTGGGATCACGGTGACCCGGCTGTCTCGGGGAAAAGAAATATCCTTCCTTGGGGCCTGATCCAGGACCTCACTTGCTTGAGCAAGTTTGGGCTTCTCTGACCTATCTTGTTGCCACCATGTCAAGTGGCACAGCCATAATCTTTTAAACATGAAGAGACAGCAATAACCCCTGTTAATATCTGTGCCTGGTGGTTAGGATGCTCACCTGGAGAAGGCTGAAAGTGCCCACAGGCATGTGATCCTGCACACCAGCATCCGAGGGACATGTCCAAGTCACCAGGCATGGGCTGTGCAGGGAGAAGAAAATTAGTCATGATTTGTCAAGGAGAGAAGGAAAAAAGGCTTTATTTCCACCTGGCTCTGGAAGCCCAGGTCATGGTTCCACCACTTATCCTCAGTTTGGATGGAGGAGACTGAATTGACTGTGCAGGATGAGGTCTGTGCTGGCTTTATGCAGGTCAGTATAAGCATTTGCTTATTCCAAGAGGAAAAAGTAGATTTCCCTTGAGCAAGGGAGATCTCAGCCCCATCAGTTGCCCACCCTTCCCTGGGGAAGAGGAACACAACACAGAATTTGTTTTGCCTTTCCACTCTTCAGTTTCGAGCAGGTGGTGCCCGGATCAGAGGGTGCCTCAAAACATTTAGAGGAAGTGAAGTTACCAGCTATGATTAAGAGCTGGTAAATGTCTAATAATAACAGGTACATTTTTAGTGCATTAAGAAATACCAGGGCTCTCACCTCCTTGCCTAGAGCCACAAGGTGCTGAGTGCTCCTGAGCCACAGAGACCCTCAGTAGCACTTGTCTCCATTACTTTATTGGCATTTTTTGGACCACATATCTGCTAAAGCCATGGGTAAAGCAATGCAGGACAGGATGAGCAAAACTGGGGCACTTTTTTAAACACTTGAGATTAATTTTTTTTCCCCAAGAAAAGTTCAGTTTTGCAGAGAATAGAACTGAATTTTACTAAGGGTTTTTTGTTTGTTTTTTGTTTGTTTGTTTGGTTGGTTGGTTTTTTGTGGTGGTTTTTGTTTGATTGTTTGTTTGTTTTTTAATGACACAAACATTTTTGATCTTTGGTTATATGATGTTGATTTCTTCCCCTCCCCATCTCACCTCCTGGGCCCTGGGAGATGAAGTTTCCTTTAAAATGCTGATGTCTATGTCAGTTGAAGTAATGTTGTCTGAGAGCTGTGACTGCATCTCTGATCTTGGCCCTGAGAAGGAATGGAGACATCCGCACTGCCAGATGCAGCCAGCTGTGCACCCCACAGGAGGAACACATCTCATTGGTAAATTTATTCGACTTACTGCTCTGCTTTGAACCACTGAAGTGAAACAAAAGGAAAAAGAATGATTGGGGAGGGGGAGTCTGAGATGTTTCACTGAAATAACCCAAAGCTGTCTCAAAAAAACATCTTGACCTTCCCTTGTATTTTCAAGGAAAACAACATAATTAGCTGAAAAAAAAAAATTAAAATCTGATTTGAAAAAGATCTATAAAAGAAAAAAAATATATTTCCTCCTGGTTGAATATTGAGGATGGGGTGAGTTTCCTTCTCAATCTCAATTCCCTCTGCTCTTTCAGAGCCGGGGCTTTGGCGACGACAGGTTCATCCGGCGGCGGACGCGGCGTGGTGTCGGCGTCGGGATCCTGGCGAGGCTTTCCTGGGGAGCAGCCTGTCATCGCCCCGGGAGCACCGAGCAGCTCCTCACAGCACGGGGTGAGTTTGCAGCATCCTAACAAGAACACGTCGCTCTCAGGGCTGCAACCAATATACAAGTCCATTGGCAGCAGATGTTATTAATGATGCCAATACATATTTTCCTATTAATCTTCCATACTAGGCTTGTGTCTATCTGCAAATGATTATCATTCATTTTCCTGACAAATCTATCAAGATCATTTATTACTGTTCGGCAAAGGATCTTCTTTTAAACAAAGATTAATAACGTTGCATTTTATCTGGCTGGCTGAGCCAAAGGAAATGAAATTAACAATGAACCCTACAAACATGTCATCACTTTAATTTACCGGAAAATATTTTAAAATGTTATTTAAAACAATATACGCTGTGGTGGGCACAGTTTATTACAAAGGGAAGAAGTGAAACCACATGCATTTTAGCAGGGTGGAGAGTAAACAAACAGGGCACTGTGTTTTCTCTGGTTCCTCGCCCTCGAGTTCAGGGCCAAGGAAGAAGCAGCACCCACAGCCTTCCTGCCATGCACAGATGGGCACCTGCCCTGGTGAACTGCAGCTGGAAGTACCTGTTTCTTGGTTAAAGTGGCTCCAACCAGGATCACAAGCTCTCATCCCTGCAGGGAGCGCTGCCCTCCCTGCCTTCCTAAAAAGGGGAGCTTCAAGACCTTCACCACCTTCACCACCTAAAAGTGGTAAAGATCATGGGGATGTGAGGAAGAGGAGGGCACGTGTGGGCTGACAGAGCGCCAGCACCCTTCTGCATTTCTGGTCCCTTAGGAGGAAAAGAAGCAAACTTGTTAAATTTACATGGTTTAGTTTCCTTTCTTCTGCACTCTCTTCTTACTGTCCCTTCCCTTCACTTGAGCAAAATATAATAATAATAACAACATTACCAAAGAACCTATCAGAACCCCTTTCCTACTTTTACTGCAAATAGTAATGCAAAAATTTAATATCAGCTTTGCTTTTTCATTACTTTATTTATGCCCATGAACTTATATTCTGAGCCCTGTTTTTGTGCAGGTACTCACCACTGTCTCTCCACAGGCCTTTTCCCATATGCCTGGCTCTGGGCTGTGTCACTTCTGGCAATGGGAAATTACTGCTCTTCGCTGCCGTGGGGGAAGGAGAAGGTTGCTTAAAATGATTTTGAATTACGAAGTCAAGAAGCGATTCTCCTACAGGTAAAAAAGTCAACTTCCTACCTTCATTCTTTGCCTCTTATTGACCCAGATACCAGGTTGGGAGCAGTGTTTTTAAACCCCAGACAAAGGAAAATAACCTTGCTAACCTCACACTGGAGAAGTTTCAGAATGCTGACATATCAGCAAGAGGATTTCCAAGTGTGCATCTGTGTATTTCTGCAGAGCAGCAACAGCACACCTACTAAACTGGCTGGTTTTAAGCACATATTTCATCGCTACATAACAAAGTAATCTGGGTTTCTTTTGTAATTAAAAAGTCATCAGTGTAGCACAGGTCTTGAAAAATTTATGACAAATAAGAGAAAGCTGAATCTACCCCAAAGCAGGGTTTGACTCCTCTGCAGATTAAAAGGAAATGAGTTAAAAAGAGAAGGATGCCCCTCTGTTAAAATTGGAGCTGTATCTCCAGTGACTTTGGGGACACTCTGCAGTTTGATTTGAGAGTTCAGGCTGCACATGTCCAGGCCATACATACTAAAGCAGGAACAGACTCTGAGCTTCTAAAAGGTCTATCTACTACTTTTACCTGGCATTTACTGGTAGAATTTGTGATGTTTGCCTGAGCAATAACCACAGTGCACGTGGCAGAACATCTCTGCTTATTTCTTTATCAAGTTACCAGTTTAGCCACCTCCTTTTTAGCATCATTGTAAATCCTGGCACAAAGACTGCAAGCTAAGAAGAAATGAGTTTCTGGCTAAGGTGCCCTAAAAGCTAAATACTCATTACATGAAAGAAAAAAGGATCTGCACCTTACTTGTAGTGTGACTGCATTCTGTTCCAGCTTTCAGCTGCTGGATTTCATCAAGCCCCTTCTGTTCATGAAGCACTTGTCTGTTATGAACTTAACACCACATAAATAAAAATCACAGAGAGTGCATGCAGAGAAATAGGGCTTTATAATCTTGGAAAGGCAAAAAAGGGGATAAAGCCAAAAGGAAGTGGCAAAGGACAATATGTAGTGAATGCAAAATCCGAATTCAAGTCTCTCCTCTCACGGTCTTCTACATACATTTAATGAGGTACATTTATTTTCCTCATTTCAGATTAATGCCAGCATAATGTGGGAGGTCCCATCCAACCTCCAGGATTCCCCAAAGCCAGGGATGAACATTCTTTTATTTCCCTCAAAGAGTAAGAGCAATGTACAGCGTGTTGTGAGGGCAACACAAGGAGCAATAGAGGAAAGTGATTTTTTTTTCAGCACAGGTGTAATACTGACGTCACAGCAATTTGAGATTTCTGCACAACCTTCTCTGAAGAAGATTAACATGAGTGAAGAAGCCAATTGCTGAGCTCCTGCCCCAGCACTGTGTTGCTGTGGTGGCACTGGGCACTCTTCAGAGTCTGGTCAAGTCTAAAGTCCTTCAAGGGGAGCACAGAGGACCGTGGACATCGAATGGCTCTTTAATTCCTGAAGTGGGATCCCATATCATACCTGCAGCCATCTTCATGCCTTCCCTCCCCTTGTCTCAGATGCAATTCCCAACACCCCTGCGTGTCCATCTCCATCACAGCACAAGGGGGGATGTGATTTCAGCACGGACCATCTGGCCGCAGGCTGGCATCGTGGAATCCGTGTGCCATTCCAGCACAGCCCAAGATGTCACCAGCAAAAGCTGGAATACCACTCAGTGCAGAATTACAGATCAGCTGTCCAAGCAGGACCAGATGGCACCACCATGCCAAGGACAACAAACAGTTATTAAGTTGTCAGACTCTGAACCAAAGTGAGCCTGAGCTGCCGACTTCTTGCCTTTTCTGTGCACAATCCCCAGGAACGAGCTGTCCCAAAAGACACTGCAGAAAGGTTCCTGGAGAGGGCACTTGAACAACTCTCTCTGGGCCACAGGGTGTCCCTCGAGGAGCCCCAGTGCCCCAGGAGCTGGGCTGGCAGCACTCGGGATTTCATACTGGGATGGGCATCACCAGGGACTATTCTCCTGCCACTCTCTGAGTTTAGTCTAACCCAGCAAGCTTTGATTCTGTGTGGGAAGGAGCAGCGTATCCATTTTAAGAAACCCTTAATTATTGCTGCATTTGTTCAAAACGGGAACATTCAGAAGGTTCAGCTCTGACTCGCTCCTGTCGTTCCACAAATGCAGCATTCAGTTTAATATGTGAGACTCATAACCAGCTCACACAGTGCAATAGTTCACTTCAGTTTGAAGAAAAAAAATATTCTGCTGGAAGCACAGGCAAGTAGCAATGTCAATTTTTCATTAACCTACAGTCGCTGTCTCTGTAGACTTACAGCTATAAGTAAGATTACTGTTATAATTTCTTCTGGTCCCTAAGTGGGGGGGGACGACAAAAAACTTCTCAAAACTTTTAAGGTCATTAAAAAAAAAAAAAAAATCCACCTTTAAATTGGAGGTAGTTTCAGTTTACTTTCATATTTCAAAATCAAATCTTAGTTTCAGCCTCACATCAAAGCAGAAATGTCGGTCGCTTTGTTTCTACATCTCCTGTGAAAGAAGTTCCAGCTTATACATGAGCGGAATGCCAAGTAAATAGATTTTCCTTGGCAACAAAGGCAGGTGATTTTTTTTTTTTTTTTGT